AAGCTGAAAGTTTGACAGTTATATATAAAAGTGCGTGGGTTCCATGCAGTCCTAGCCTAGTGTTTCAGATAAATGGTGAAGGTTTCTGTGGGATGCAAAATGCCGCTTAGACTAAGTAATCCATCGATAAGTGTAAATATATTATAGTGATCGGCGTTGCGAAAAGGCATGTACTTCAATTTTGGGATTTTACCTTGACATTTGTGAGGTAATTTTGATTTATTTATGTCCACTTCCTTCCTCTTTGAGTGCTCAGTCCGAATCTAAGGTTTGTTAACTCAATTATATAACTAACAAGAACATTGAAAAATGAAAGTATTTAAGAAAAAACAAATTTCTTGATGTATTCTGAGAAGGTCCAACTTAAACTTTGACTCTTATCTACTTTAATTTAAACTTATGATATAAGGAAATGTCTTTACTTATATAATTAATAACTTTATTTTCTCATTTTATTGCCACGAAATTCTATTGAGGATGCTCAGCAGGCTCGAAAAAACTATGCTAATCAAATTAATCAAAATACTTCCAAACCTCTTTTTGGATAAATATAGTAGACAATGGTATAGCAATAATTTTCATATTATGCTCAACTAGGTATGAGGCACAACTTCATAATTTTGGCGACAAACAATGCAATGTAAACATATACGCTTGGCTCCTCCTAACCTATTTGAATTCGTTAGGTAAAATAATTTCCAGTGAGTAAACCGACACGGTTTACAAAAACATCTGGAATGATGCGTCAGTTCATTCGCTAGTGAAATACTGTCTATTTTTGACCAGATACCAGCTTCGGTTTGCTACCGGCTTTGCAACGGGAAAGCCAAGGAAGAATTTGTAGATATTCGATACTCAATGGAATTACCTTGTGTAGGGGATGTGAACAGGAAGATGAGACATTTAATTGTCTTTATGCTTAACTATACGCTTACCTTCAGCGCATCTGCTACTCTCTCCAGTACGCATTAAGTGGGTAACAGAGGACCGCTGTTTTCATTTCTCTTCCTGGAAATACTCTAATACATTTAGCACGAGCTGTCGGCGTTCTCCATTGATCGTATTTCCGGGCATTGTACAATTTTATATTGAAGATTGATAACAGGAAAACTCGAATCGCACGCCGATGTTAAGTAAGTTGTCACTCTGACAAATATGATTGAAGGGCACTCATACGTAGCGTCAAAGTTTTCGAGACGGAGACACACAACTAAAAACGTATGTCTTTGAGCTGACAAACAACAAACGTTCACACACAGGGGGAGGTTGCATGTGTATGTATGAGGGATATATATATATATATATATATATATATAACAAAAATAGGAAAATAGTGCCCACTATACCTTTCTCCGCATGATAATTTTCTCTTTATATATATATATATATAAAGAAGCTGGTAGTCTTACTTTGACCCGCCAAGAACGGTGACGACAACAGGAAACTTCGCTGGGTCTACTCATTTCCCTTTTTCAAAGTTCGGGATGACTGCTGATCCAGGTCTCTTGGGTGAGGATGGGGTCGAATGCAGCTTGAGTACTGCGATCTGGGCTGATTTCCTTTTCTCCAACCAAAAGCCAATTAACTTTACCATCGGCGCCTTCTTACTGGTATGTTGTATCCAATGTGACGATCACAGAAACTTTCCTTGCTTCTACCGGTGACACAAGAGTACAGCCAATTTATCATTATTATTAATTCTATTTAAAATTAACTCTATATCTTTTGTCGGTGGTACGAGTAGATACAATTTGGTATCTAACACGGCCACAATAAGCGTTTATGTTCAAGTGTGTGTGTGTTAGAAGAGAAGAAGCTCTTGATTCTTTTAATCCACGTTACTTTTAAACACACTTCACATTTTGTTTCCATATATTTTCGATAAACAGTACTATTTAGAAAGCTTCTCCAAAATTACTGATTTTTGCCCATACATATGTAGGGTTGCATTTTAGGTCCCCTATCACGTCCTGTACCTCTATTCTTGACTCACACTCACACTCCCTCTCTTTTTATACTCCTCCGGTTTTCTATCGATTCTAAAATACTGTATTCTTGAAAGGACTCGATAGAAAGAAGAAAGAAAATCAAGACACAGGGTTGCCGGGTTTGAGTAAACGAGCTAAACCAATCAAAATGGTGGTAATTTTGACAGTCAAAATCTAACCAAAGTTTTTGGTCAAGATTTCCTCCTTATAATTTTATCTATCTAGCCGAAAACTAAAAAAAAAACACATTTCAAATGAACAAAACGACAAAATGATTGAATTTTTCCGAGATCATCCCCAAATGCACCAGGGAAAATTCAATTATGGATTAAAGGATACTGTTTTAGAATGAATAAAACTTAATATCTACTCTAGCCTTTGTTGTGATCGAAAGTGCAGAAGCTCGTGGGGATGGTTGTATGAATGGAATCAATATCTCCAGAAATGCATACACTAAATCTTTGGTCAACCTAAACATCTGTACAAATTTTCGATCTGAAATTCTGAAAGGATCTCGGTGCCCAAGAATATCTCTCCCAATCTCCCATTCCTCAACTGCCTCCTCTACATCCTCGTTACTAATATTGTTCCAATACATCAATTGATTGAAATTATCCATTTTTTGCAATATGTTTAGCAGGAACGACAATAACAATGCCAAACACGTCAATTTTTAGATTAGCCAAACACGTCAATTTTTAGATTATATAGCGCTATTTTCTACCAACTTTCCCAGTTTCTCTTGGTCGGTACCAAGAGAAAACGCGATTACCTAAAGTGAATTCATTTCTATCACTTTTCGGTAGACTTGATTTCAAGAATACTGCATTTCTTGGCCACACCCAGTTTCTGGCACTTTCTCTCTCAACTTCTACTCCCTCAAACTCAAGAATAGAGATCCTGGAAGGAATAAGGCCGATTACTAGTAACCCTGCATATATCGACAAATACTTCCAATTGATTTTATTCAAATTTTCTAAACTTGGCCATTTCGACGAAGCTGTAAAAACTATGATTGGAATTTCAAAATCTTGCAATTTGAGAAAATCTGAAACTCTCTCTTTGGAACGTTGACAGTGATTTAGGAAAAGAGCCCCAGTTTTGTCTCTGGCCATCCTTGAAATTTCACTGCAAATAAAAATCCAAAGTACGTTTGGGAATCGGATAGGGCACTAGAAAAAGAACATATTTTTGATAAAACGATTTCAGATTGAAGCTACTTTTGGTTCTTAAGATGATACTATAGTCCGAATTTACCAAAACCTATTTTTTTCTATTGATCCCAGGACCAAACTTTGCTCTTAGGGAGCAAATTTTTCCAATCAGAAGCAAATGCTATATAACCTTGGTCAGTAAAAAAAGAGACATTGATCATCGACCGACCAAATTCGATGCAATATATAGGGTGTTTTAGAACTATGAGATCAAACTTCTAAGGGTTATTCAGTGTAACAGTAGAAAACATTTGAGTATAGGGACCCATATCCGGAAAAGTGTCACTACAGCCCTAAGACCCGTTAAAATTGAGAAAGACGTAAATTCAATTAGACGAACATTAGCAAGTCATAACGCATCATAAACCACTTATTAATAATTTTTACTCTTGATCTGCCCACTATCCTTTACTGACTGGTAGACCACAATATTTTGCCTCTGAGTAGTTATTAGTGTAATATAGTACATAGTTCACTTTCATAGAGATGTTATTTCCATTAAAATTCAGATAACAGTATTCTATTCCTTTGCAATTTCAGAGAACCGTAGTGACTTTTTCGAATCCAATACTTCTGCTTTTATCGGAGTTTTTTCATTTGGTCCTCGCCATTCAATCGGTTCTTCTATTGAAAGGGGAGCATAATGGGGAGCGATTGTCTCATCCCGTTGCAATTGGCTCCAAAGCCTTTTTTGGGATTCGTTTCACATGGTGCTGAAAATGATATTGCGCAGTCAACATTATGCCGTCGCCGATTGACCCAAAAGGAGTGAAAAGGTCAATCGACTGTTAACTTTTTCCAATCGCTATAAGATTCTGAGAAGCAGGATGGGGTGATCTTTAGACATCGCTAAGCATTCTTGCATTTAGATGATGATCACCAAAAAGTGTGCTCCAAGTAATAAACATGTTACCCTTTATTTGCCTGTCTGTCGTTCGCTTGGTAGTTACTGATCTCAGAGTTCTATAGCCTTTTCGAAATTTATTTAGAGACGTTAGTCTTTTAATAGCAGCGTTATTTTTCGGCAATACTAGACCTTATAGCCATCCTGTGAAATTCTAATGTAATTTGAGCTTATGGAATTAAAAATATATGAAATTCAAAAATAACTTTTTCTCCATCACTAAATTTATTAAATGGCCAGCAATAATAAAATGTATGGCATTGTATTAACCCATATTTTTGTGAAGTTTGAGCGAAATTGACCATTTTCTTGCTTGATGATATATATGGACTCATATGACAATCTTGATATTTTCTTGTACCTATATGATATTTGAAGAGTATTAAAACATTACTAAACATTTACCGAAAATCCACCATTTCGTTTTAAGATATTGATAGATTATATTATGTGGATCTGTATAAAAATTTTAGTGTATGAAATTTGCGCAGCATTAATCCTCATTTTAAAACTGTGAAGTAAGTCTGTTATTTTTAAGGAAGTGCACACATTATTCTTTTTTTGTCGCGATCGACTGCTCCATATGGAAACTGTGTACTGTCCATGTTCAGTTTTTCGTTGTTGAATGTATTATACACATATGTGCAGTGCGCAGTTCGTCATTCATTAAGCTTTATAATTGCGTGACCTAAATTACCTATGCTTTAATTTTTTATAAAGTCATCAGCTGTTGAACTCTGGAGAATTTTAACTTCTCCCAAGCAAGTTGAATCATGTTAGGCTGTGGATTTTTAGACTCCCTACCGATATGTAAAACTGTACAATATATTCGTGAAGCTATAGTTATGTTATGTACATATGTATTGTATGTATAACAAATTGTTCTTTTTCCAGGTGAGTACCTGTCCATCGTAATCCATCACAATTACAAATGGTAAGTATTTTGGAAGGATTCTATAGCTCGTAAGTGGGAACGAATATAGAGTATATACAATATATATATATATATATATATATATATATATATATATATATATATAGGTGAATAATTAAAGCTTCCGCCTTTTGTTGGGTACTTCGACAAAATTTAAGCAAAGAGGACTCTTTATACTTTTTTTAATTCTCTCTAGCTTTCAATGGACTTTACCATCATCATCAGGAGCTGCAATTACAATGATAACAGTAGCAACAAAAGTGTAAAATGAATTTAAATTTCGACTTTTCACAACCATAAATATAATCTGTGTTTTGGCCGATTCCACCAACAAATTTCATTCCACTCAAAATCTAATAATTCTCTTCTCACGATTTATTAATAATTGTTAATTTAAATTCCCATTAATTAAAATATACTTTATTCAACTGCCTCTGGTCGGTTTAACAATTTCTTACATAACATTCTGAAAATCACATCATCTGAAGTGATTTCGCAACGTTTGGCACACGCCCACAATTCGTTCCATCTTTCAACACAGACATTGACAACCTTCGGCCTTCTGTCAAAGGTTCATCTCACTCATTATTCCATGACCACCATTTTGTGCAATCATCAAGTGGCTTCACGATGTAATGCTCTAATGTTTTTTAAATAATTTTTAATCTGTTTTTAACTTGTCTTGTCATATTTTATATAATTTTGACCATTGTACCATCTATCCAGCTCTCACCATGTTACTGGACGTTTCCCTCATCCTATACGTAAACAACAATTAGCAACATCCTCACATACTGCTGTAAGTTGAGTCAATTTAAATTCATTTTACACTTTTGTTGCTACTGTTATCATTGTAATTGCAGCTCCTGATGATGATGGCAAAGTCCATTGAAAGCTAGAGAGAATTAAAAAAAGTATAAAGAGTCCTCTTTGCTTAAATTTTGTCGAAGTACCCAACAAAAGGCGGAAGCTTTAATTATTCACCTAACTGGTCTAGACGACAATGACCACGTCTCATGTTATATATATATATATATATCTGCTTAATAAAACCAATATAAAAAAGAATGCTAGGAGATGTTTCATTTAATTCTAATCGGAGTAAAACATTACAATGCCTGGAAAATATTATAGTCGTTTGCAGCATTTTCACTAACCAGAAAGTAATAATAATATTATCTAGGTCTGTCTCTGTCCATGGAGGTCAGTTTCAAGATTTCAGGTTTGGGATCCTTATCGATTCTCAAACGGGGTTTTACAAAAGTTGTTCCCTCAAAAAAAAAAAATATATGACTACGCCCTAAAATCATCCGAAATTCAATAATAATTATCAAACAACCTAACTATAGGCTAAGCTCAGTTTCGTCATAACTCATCGTACGTCACTGCTGTACTCCAAGACAGTGCCGTGCGATGCATCACGTTAATCTTTCTCATTTTTATACTTGACCATAGCAGATGACTGAACAAAATAGTTTAAACAGATTGGGCTTTACTATAAACCATCCAAGCCTCACAGAGTCTTGAATTAACTAAATACAATTTTTCCACTTACTGCATTTATACACTTACTGAACTGAAAAATATATTACATATGTTATATAGGGTGTTCAAGATAAGGATCCTATGCAAGGGGATTTCAATACCTGTGGGAGATACAGCTTAGGTTGAATTAGGAAAAGCTGCGTCCTTTAGGGCATATTTACATGCCGTTGAGAAACTTTCATGGCTTACTGAGGTATTTGGGAAAAATAAAAATTTGCCTAAATCATTCTTAATTTGTTCTGATTTATTTTAAGGAATATCCAAAAACTAATGGATCTTTTTCATTGGCTGTTTTCAGGCACTACATGATGGTGTTTTTAAATTTTGTGCCCGACGTTTGATTTTTGAGAAACAATCAAAAACTTTATTTTTTTATATGGTTCGCAAGGTAAGTACACACATTCTAAAATCATCTTCTACGAATTCGACGATGTATCACATGTTAGATTTGTTTTTTTAGTTATGTAGAAAAATGTCTTTGGTCCCTAGAATTCCACTCCACATACTAAACCCAAAACGTTCTTGATGGTCAGTAATGAGCGTTGCGGCAATTGAAGATGCCATTATTAGTGACTCTACTCTCGTTGGACCATATTATTTTCGAAGATAGATTAAAATCTTCACCTGTTACTGTGTACTACTCAAAAAGATGCTGGCGCCATTCGATTTCCCCTGGTCAAAGTCCTTGGCAAATCCTGTAATTATAGGGGTGATATCTATTTTCACGCAAAATAAATTGGACGGATTTGGCTACTCCTCCATACAATAGTGCCTAAAAAGTGCCAATGAAAAAGTTGCATTAGTTTTTTGATATCTCTTAAAATAAAGTCGGAAAAAATAAAAACGATTTTGCCAAATTTTCCTCTATATAGACATTAATACTGCTTTAGATACGTAATTATCCAAGCTATCCAAGTAATTCTATGTACGAGTATATGTAACTTTCGTCTATATCGACCTAGATGCAGATAACCAGTTTCGGAGTGGATTATGTTAAAACGCTTTAAGTTAAAGCGGTTTAAGAAAATGTGTATATTTAGTAGTTCAGGAACATATGGGGCAGGCCTGGCGTGTCCGCCTAAATATCTGTTCTTTCTACTTTTCCAAAAAAAAAGAAACATGTTCATTCGTAAAATACTGTTTTGTTCCATCACAGCCAAACCTGCCACATTGAGGGCGTTCGCCTAACCTGAAGCGGTCCAGCGGTGCAGCGCATTTATGTTGAATAGCAGTAGCCGTCGAATAGCTTTGACAGTTCGCAACATTAATCAACATGAACCTACTATCATATCTGACAGCCAAATGGAAACAGCTATCAAACTGACAAAGTTATCTCATGGCTACTGCTATTCAGCATAAAATCGCTGGACTACTCGACCGCTTTACGTTGTCTGAACGCTCCATAATCTAGATCAATCTTATGCTAAAACAAATGTGAACGCTCAGTCAAGCTCCTTTTACTACTACTACTATCACTACTGCGTATTTGGAAAGTTCAACGTACACTCGCTAAGCTGTTTTGGAGTGAAACTAGAGAACATCAAATTTTATTGCAGAATCAAAAAATACACCCAATTTTTCACTGTGACAAGCCATCCAACCATGTACTCACATATATACTACATACTTATACACAGGTATGTATATAAATTGAAAAGACGCTTTACATAATGAGAAATGTTTCAAATATTATTCTCATGGGCGTAGGCGTTCCTGCGGGACAATTATCGATTATGCACTAAAAATCCATCAAGTTTACGGAGGTATTTTCCACCTTCGCAGAAATGCATTTTTTAGCTGATATAGACTATTCATCTGCGGCTATGTTTTGAAATTGATGCAGCTTTCTCCCTTTTCTGCTCACCTGTTAAACAAATGCCGTCAAGTAGGTTAACTCTGCACTTCCCACGTAACGCCGTTATCCGTTCATAAATGATTCTGTTCAGCACAAACTGGATCCTCTGAGAAAAAAGTCAAACAGGTCCATACAATTAATCCGTAGACATCATTTCGCTGCCCTACCGATAGTCCATCTGTCAACGTCGCCTTTCTCCTTACACGGTAAGACGTGGCAGACGGCCACCGCATACGAAACACTATACGTAGGTTCGCCATCCGTGTCAGGCGAACATTGTTAGGGCTAATGTATGGAGAAATCTATACTGTGTAAAATATCTCTAAAAGAAATGTTTTTTTCCTTTAACATTTTTCTGGTAAAATTAAAGTAACAAAGTTATAGCCCTTTAGAAGTTTGAGTACCGCCCTGTCTCAATAATAATATTATGTGCTCGTGTTTGGCAACAACGGATATAATCCGCCTTATCGGTTCATCGCATCGGAAACAAAAAAAGCGAAAGAATTTGAAACGCTTATCACGATGTTTTTACTACAATTTTATTCAGTTGTATTCAGTCAAGTGTCAGTCGGTAACGCGTGAGTGAATAGTGGTGTTTGTTGCGTGGCTCAAACGAAATAAAAAATGGCACATGTTTACGAAAATGCTGAACTTGTGGACATGATTCTTATTTACGGGGGGGGGAGTCTTTATCACGGATTTATGCGGATCGGTTTCCCAATCGAGTGCAACCAACTCCCATGCCTTTGTTAATGTAGTACAAAGGGCTAGTGAATCAGGTGACTTAAGACCTCACAGGGGAGGGCATGCCGGTGCTCCAAGACCGCACGATCAAATACAGGTCCGCACTGAAATACTTGTCGGGGGGATACCTTATAAAACAAGGTAACATTTTTTTTATTTTTATTTTATTTTTACACACACATATTTTGGTTTATCTTCCTTCTACAATCATTATCTGAAAATTAATGACTCAACTTCAAAGTCATAATATTAATAGTTCTATAAGTACGTAAATACTTTCATATGTATACTGAGTATTGCTAAGCTGAACAAAAGGTAAAAACATTTTATTCATATCACTATGTATAGGACATGAGTTACTTTTAACCGTGATAAAATCGGCAGCCTGCCGAAATCTGCAGTGAGACAATCGTTCATCCTTGGGCGGTATTCGGTGTTTCGAAGACCGCGGACTATTTATAAGTCTCCCTCTCGATGATGAATATCCGTCATAATGAACCTAACTAACATTTTGTTAAAAAGTTCTACCACCCAAGAAAAAGTTACCTATATTTCTAATATTTTAGTAATCATCATATCCTTGAATGCTGAAAAGTTGAATTGTCTCGAGAGTTGAATCCTTTGTCAAAAATTGCTAACTACGTATAGTTGTAGTCACCGTTCTGGGCGGTTACGTCATCAACGCCATATGAAATAAGTAAACAGATCGAGTCTCCATACCAGGGGCGGAACACTGCGCAGACTAATTTTCAGCGCATCTGCTACTATCTCCAGTACGCATGAAGTGGGTAACAGGGGACCGCCGTTTTCGTTCTGTTCCTGGAAATACTCTAATAAGTTTAGCACGAGCTGTCGG